AAGCCCATGTTAGAATCATAGAGGTGAGGTGAGGAGGTCTGGATGGAATAGCCAGTAGTAACTTCTTGGGCAGGAGTAGACATATCCACTTCCATATCTTGGCTGGCTCCAATGATATCATTAATCATTTGCAGGTCTGGGTTGAAACAAATCAAAGTTATAATTCTAAAGTTTTTATCAAACTGACATGTTTGATGTCATTTCAGTATGGTTGAAATGGGTGACCGGGACTTGGATTTACCGTAAGTCCAATTTAAGTTCCATTTTTTATGACTAAGATCCAGACATTACTTCGAACTTCACAGTTGATACTGGAAACTATTATTTGCCAACAAGATGCTTGTAAAAAATCTTCATTGTTAGCATTTTTTTAACCAAAACTTACTTTATGAAATTTATAATTTCATAATTTTAAATGGAAATCCTACAATATGATCATGAAAACTTCACGACAAGAAACACTCAAAAGATATCTTTCAGAAAATAATTTCCAACCTTATATCCAAAAGATACAATGAGAAACCACAAACCTTTTAATAATCATACATACATCTAAATATTCATGAACTGGACTTAAATTCTACATCAGGCAAGACTGTTTAGATTTGAAAACCCAACTACATGTCTGAAAGTAGAAGCAGATGGAAAGGAAGAAAGATGGGTGGATGAGGCTGCAGGGAGGGGTGCAGAAGAAGGAAAGGCAGAAGCTTCTAATGGGTAAGAGAAAATCCTTTCACTCAGGTGGAACAATGGTTTATTTATCTGTCTTTTCAATCACAGTGTCGAAGTTGCTAATTTCTCACTTGATTGAAGATACAGGGACAACTCCTCCTTTCTTCTCTGGCAATTTATAGTCATTTTGCATAATAGCTAAAACAATGGCTCTGATTATTATTTTCCATTATGATGTGTTTACTGATACAGAAATTGTAAACAAATTAATTATGTTTAACCCTAACCAATTGTATTGAAATTGGAGGATTTGGGACTGTTAGGGTTAAGGAAGGTTTAGGAAACAATTAAAATGAGCAACATTGTAAGTGAAAATAAGCTAATTTGATTGGGCAATATTAACTCACCTATTTTGGGTAATAACTGGTTGTTAGCTTGAGAGGTGATGTCCATTGGGCTCTGTTGACAACATGCATCAGAAAAATAAACATTCTGTCTGTTCCAAACCCTAACAAAGCTATGTACTTTATAATGCATGATGGCCGTCAACATATGAAAGAAAATTTGGAAGATCAAAGACTGTGTTAGATTCTAAAATATGAGATTTGCAATGGAAGATGATCTATCGGCGAGTGCACAACGTTTGTTATCCTGTCTCCACCTTGTGAGTGAAAGAATCTGTCTCTTACCACGGCTAATGTGAGCTTGTACAACTCATCCTCAAACTTGGGATCCAAGGCCTCAGCTGCATCTTGGCCTTGATTAATTCAGAGGGAAACAAGGAAAAACCAAATGCTTCATTATTTATTCACTCTTTTATTAAATTCAATTTATTGTTTGAAATTGTGCTCCATTCACATTTGTAAGGAGACTGGATTTTCTATGTCGTTGAGGTTATGTGCATCTTGGCTTGAGATTCTTTTTTCAATGAATAGATTTTACAGTAATTTTTATTAATGAAAAATGCTCATGAAAATAACCTGGCAGAGAACTGTTTTGACTGAAATTTTTTTGAAAATGTTATTATTAACCAAATACGTAACAAAGTTATACTGCATGGGTACATGTACGTGTGAGCAGGCCTTCACCATGTTAAGGGGACGACTTCTTTTGTTAAGCAAATCAGAATCGAGTTGTGGGGACATTTCTCTGTACCAAACATGTTTTCGGTCCCCGCAAAGTAGGTGAAATAATGCGTCTCTATCCTCACAACTGCGGAATAAGAATAGGTGAACCTCTGTGCGTAAATGAAGTATAACCCCACTACACACTGATACCAGGACAATTGACAAAAGACAAATTAATCTTAGAATGTGAAAGCACATTGATCAATTTAATGTCAAGAAGATTAGTTTCAAAGCCAACTTTAACAGCACAGTTACAAGAGTCGAAGTGAGAGAACTGGAAGCTTTACAAATCAAAATACACTCACCATTTGTCAAGTGGGTATTGTCCTCCCCCAGCATGGATAGAAACTGTTGAAATTCTGAATAATTCTCTACAGTTGCATCGATCTGACTGTTATCCATTACACTACGCAGGACAGGACTGTAACGTCAGCAAGAATCTCTCCAAAATAAAATTAAAAAACACACTCACACTTGATGTGTCAATTTCCACAGAGCTGAGTAAAAAAAAAAGGAGTTCAAAATATTTAGTGTGACATTCAGGACAGTATTCTAGTAATGTCCATTCTGTATAACGGGGCAAAAAGTACAAAAGGTTCCTTTACAGAATAGGAAATATGAAAAACTGGGCAGGAGGAAATGGGAGACAAATTAATAATTCCATTGACAAAGTGCACCGTGTTATCGAAAATGTTTACCACATGCCCCATTTTTACCAATTTTCTAGAAACCAGTTTTTTGGTCTTCCAGATTTTTCCCATTTGTGGAATCCTTACAAATGAACAGTACACATGTGCTCCGAGGACAAGATTTCCCACATGTTTAGAGATCACCTCCAAATTGGAGTTAAACTCTCCAAAAGGTTTAAATACTTGACAAAAATGAAGACAAGAATCAACATGTATGTGTTATTTGTATGCCTAACTACTACCATGACTACTCTTAATTCAATTAATGTGAATGTTTCCAGTTATCATTAGAAATTCATAACTCTTTGTTCTAAAACATTTGTGAATGTTAGAGTCAATGAGCACCCATTTCCTGGCATATTCACTGGAAAATTACCACAATATGTACAGTGGAACGCCACTGTAACAAACACAACAGGGTCCAGGTTAAATGTTCGGTACAGTGGTCGCTCGGTATTGCGAAATTAACTGCTGAACATTTTGTTGACGTATTGAATAGCGATCTCCTGTCCAACTGAAGTGCACCTTCTTGTGATACTATGATTCACTGTTTCTGTGATGTTTTGCCGTTGCATTCACGTTTGAGGTTTTTAGAAATATATCTGTTAATTATCATTTTTTTAAAATTAAATTTGGAATTACAAGATTGATACTTAGTTTATCCTAGAAGTCTGAAGCTACCGCTCAGGATTGATCTCTGATGCATGCTGTAGCCAATCTCAGTTAATTTGCAACTATATAATCTTCGGTAAGTTTTGTGCACAAAATACTGGGAGCCAAGGACGATGTTCAGTACAGCCAAATGTTCGGTATAGCGGTGTTCAGTATAGTGACGTTCCACTGTAACACATTTAGGAAGATCTAGACTTTCCCTTTTTCCGGAAAAAGTGAGCACTATGCTAGGTTGAAACAACACAGGATGTTAGCAGTTTCACTAATATTGCTACAGTATGTAAGTTTTGTTCAATGAAGAACCCGATTTTTCTTTGAATTTTAATAGTGCAATGTCTCACTGTCTCCAAACTCACAGACAGACTGCAAATTGCACTTGCATTTTAATTTATAGGAATTGAAAGAATTGTGCCAGGGTAATCTCAACGAAGTTTCCTTTTATGTATGATTTTTTCAAAATGAACATTGAGTTTTCAAAGTGAAAATTTGAGAATTAGTATCAGAGCATTCACGAAAACTATTTTTGAAGAACAAATTTTTGAAGAGATAAATTCTCTTAACTGGTTTAAATTATATCTGTTGTGTTTTTGTGCCATGCTGTACAAATGTTTAAAAATACCATATACATGTATTGCACATTATGTGGTTTACATTTAGACTGTAATGTCTTTCATTTGCTACACTTTGAAGCAAACTCTGTAAACAGTAAAATGGCCATACTTAAAGCCATCAACACGTACACATGAAATGAAACAAAAATTACTCGGACTAAACATGGTAAAATGTCTAAGCTCCCCCCCCCCGAAAAAAAAATTCACAGCGCATGTTCAGTAATTTCAGTTGTCTCAACTGAGTTATGTAGTTTTGAGGAACTGGCAAGTATATAAAACTAAGTGTTTTTCCCTTTATAATGACACAGCCCTCAAAACCGTCACCTACATTTCAGGGTTTGTTTCACCTCGAAGAACCCATTTCCCCTGGTTTTGAGGAGTCGTCTCCGATTGAGAACAATGACATCAGATTCAAGGTAATCTCCAGGTGAGGCATGGGGTTCGGGTATTTTATTTTGATATGAGAAATTCAGTGTAGTGTTAGGCATTTACTTGTCCACTTGGTTTGCAAGGGAACAACTCCAGCGAAGAGACACGACTTTCGTCAGAGACCTTTTGACCGTGGAAAACTGCCTTTGCTTGGTTGAAATGTGTGCAAAGGGGTTGCTAAAGTGTAAAGAAAGGCACCAAAAAACGTTGATGGCTGGCGCATCTGACTGATGATTTCGTTCGAGTCGAATAGTTCGGTTAAAACAGGGAGAAAATAACATTAAGCTGTATTTTTCTTCTAATACATGTATTTACAGTGCCAAAACATAAACCACAATCGTTTACAACTCCGGGTTTGTTTGACCCCGAAGAACCCTAGGCCCAAGGTTCCCTTTGTGGGAGAGAGTTGTTTACATGTATACATAATTGTGAAAAGGCACGTACATGTACATGTAATTTGCATACATGTACATGTGAATGAATGCGGATGTTGGCGGTGTGCTTTGTTTTTTGTCCCTTTTGCGCAACATCACTATTCTTAGCCGTGTGCACCCTGAATGTCAAACAGTTACTTATTCAATGTTCGAATATGGAGCGGTTACTTGTTCAACATTGAATGTCAAACGTCAAACGAGGAACTAACTCCACACTGCCAAATTGCGAGAGGCATCAGGAAAATTTTCCTAACAAAATGAAATTTTTTTTCAGTCCCATTTTCATGATTTTTCACTTCAGCATTTCTGCAATGACTGACCATTATTGAGATGGTCATGGCCCTATCTGCTAAAGGCCTAGTTAGGCCTATCCACGAGTCACCATAATTCGCGCACTTAGTACTTTGACCAAAATTTGTTCTTAAATAAAGTAAATTTCTAATGGCTTCATTCTCAGTAGTTGAAAGTTTGACTAAAATCTCATTTGTACATCGGATGCTACCAAAGCAACAGGAACAACATTGTCTGCAAACAGAACTGCAAGCAGTAAAACTTATACCACCAAATCCACGAATGTACGTTGCAAACATCATTTTACGGGCAACGGTGCAGCCCTACCTCTGAAAAATCTGCCAGTTAATGTTTCTTGAATAAGGAATTATTTTTTGCATTAATTGCTTTGGTGTAGCGATGCGGTTTAAGGCAAAAAACACTTTTATTTGCCAAAGCTTGATTTTCCATCAAATCTCTTTTTTGTTCTCCTAATCCTAGTTAATTTTTTCAATTTCATTTTAACCCTCCTTTAGTTTTACAGCACAAATATGCACAAGTGCCCAAGGTCACTCTCTTGCACGTTGGTGCAGTGCACAACACAACACAGCTGTGCTTCTTTGAGGTGTTTACCAAGTGACCCAAAGAGTGACTTCAGCATAGGAGGGTTAAGTTACAGTGAGGCATGAATTTTTATTCTTTCATACAGTATATTGAGTATTTGATATGGATAGCATGAAAAAACTTTTCTTTGCAAAAGTATTTCTGAAAAAAGTCGCAAAATACAGTGTGCCGCCAAATCCGTGCCCGTCATTGGCAACGGAAATCTCCAAATAGGCCTACATCATGGTGCCCTGTACATGTGGGGGTATTTTTGATAATGCCCTAAGAAGTAGGCGAAAGTTGACTGAAGTCATCATCAGTGCCAGACGTCCAATACCGATCATGAGCAAACAGTGATCATTTATCCACTTCCTAGACAATTTCAATCAGCTAATGTTCAGTCTGTCGGTATTTGGTCTGTATTAAAAGTAAACACAGCAAAACACAATGCTCTAGCCTCTGCAGACATTTTTCCCGAATTCTCACTGGAAAACTTTTGATCCAACGTCGGAAGTCCGAACATAATTTCATTGAAGAGTTTCACAACTAGAAAGCTGGATGCGCAAATATTTGTATGCGCGAATTTAGGGTAAGCTACTCCATGATACTTGAACATGATCATGAAAAAGTCAAGTGAATGAAGTGGATGGAGACATGACGCAACATTCTTTCGCGGCAGCGATGCCTAGTCATGCCAGTTGCGAACCTACATGTATTAGGCCTAACCGAATAAATACTTACTTTTCTTTTTACAGAACTTGAAAAATGAAGAGTCGAAGGAAAGTGAAGGAAGAAAAACGTGAACGCTGATCAATAACTGAATTGCTTACCTCACACCTGTCCAGACAAACTAAGCACGACGAGTGCGTATTGCCACACACAACATTTCCATTACACTTGGTTGTATTTAGAAACTGGATTTTCCAGATTTCATCATCGCTTTGTCAGTTTTTATGATAAACGAGTAGTACGCGTCACTATGTAAAGCGACATAATATTCGAACGGCAGTGTGTGACTTAATTGAAGTACACAAAATTATTGTTATGTGTAATCAAATGATTTATTCACTTCAAAATCTCTTGTCTTGTGCATGAAAATTACGACAATCATAACTGCATTAGAACACAAACTACTTGATATTTGGAATTTTGAAAAAGCAAGCTGCCTCAGTTCTATTTTTAGATACTACGGATTCACTCTGGGTTTTCCCCATCCCGGTCACGAGTGACGTCACGAGAGAGTGCGCCACCAAGTGGCATGGATTTTTAAACAATCTTTCCTACAGACAGCTCAGACAACAATCACACGATTTGTAAACAAATATTTGAAGTAGGCCTTGTCATCAGTACAAAGGCCTGTTGGATACACCGAAGGAGATAATGTGTCGAATTGAAACTAGCACCTTCTCTTTTTTGTTGGAGGGGGGGGACTCAGTTACCAGTACTTATTCCTCATTTGACATTCGACATTCAATGTTGAACGAGTAACTGTTTGATATTCAACTTTGAATAAGACATTCAGGATGCACACCCCTAAGAGCGATGGAGTGCAAAAGAAACAAAATACAAACTGTGTCAACTACATTTTGCTTGTTTGACCCTGACTGAAAAACGCCATGCACTATTGCTGAGGAGTTGTCGCCGATTGAGAACAATGACATAAGATTCAATTTACTATCCAGGCGGGGCATGGGGCTTTGGTATTTGAGTTTGATTGGAGAAAATTGTTGTGCGATGCATTCACTTTCCCACTCATGGTGTGCAAGCAAAGAACTCCACCAACAAGACAAGTTAATATCATCAAAGTCGTTTTGACCGTGGGAATCTACCTTTACCCTGGTTGAAATGGAGACAACAGAGTCTAAATCATGAAGCACTTTGAAAAAAGTAGTTAAGAGCCAGGGCATGAGATTGATGTACATGTATATCATTTCAACTGACTGAAATAGTTTCTATCATTTCAACTGACTGAAATAGTTTCAATGAAACAGCAAGCATATAAACTAACCTGTATTTTTCCTCTAATGATTTAACACTCCTGTAAAAAGCTGTCACCAACATTTCAGGGCTTGTTTGACCCCCCAAAACCTGTTGCTCTTGGTTCCACTCTGTGGGAGAGAGTTGTTTGTGTATACATCTTTGGGAAATGGGCATGTACAATAAATTGTGTACATGTGAATGGATGTACATGGTGACAGTGTGGTATTTTTGTCCCTTTTGCACTCCATAGCTCTTAGGGGTGTGCATCCTGAATGTCAAATGGTTACTTGTTCAACTTTGAATGTTGAACGAGAAACTAACTTCACATCAGTCACTCTATTCAGGAAACTCCAAGATTTCTCCCCCACCCCCACACACGTTCTGAACATGGATATGCAGATCCATAATAATGTTGATGATGCCCTCTGCCATCATTTCAGTTATTTGAGATGGGAAATGTAACGTCTTTGAACAATCAAAGTGTAAATTGGGGTTGGAGCGGACCTTGGGTGGCAGTGGGGAGTCTGGGTGTGTGCACAGTTTTTCAAGGTGGCACTAAAAAGCAACTGATGTGCAGCTTGAATAACTTTTAATTGCAAGATTTCAAATGTGGGCCCCTCCTTCCAACTGCATCACTACTCTTGGCAAAATTTTAATCTGGACATTTGAGAGTTCTGCAAGATATTTATGAATGGAAATTAAAAGGCCAGTAGTGTTACGCAAACTGATTAACATGAATCCACTAATATGATCACTTCATTTCAAAGCACCAATATTTTATTTGGTACACAATTCATGAACTACATAAAAAAACGAAGCGTAATGAAGAACATGTAGAATCCAAAATGAAATGTTTCACAACAAAGTATTAAAAAATCAAGGCATGAATCTTTAAAAGTCTAATTTCTGTGAGTAGTTGGAAAACCATCAAGGTGAATTTCTTGAATTGTTGCTGGTTTGTAGAGGGGAATACTTTGAAAAACAAGAATCCACAAAGGGATGAAATTAAATGTAAAACTAATATCAATAAAAACGTATGTTAATTCCAAATTATGAATTAAACCTGCCGAAAGGACTTTCATGCTACTTTGCTTATATTTGTGGGGAAATTATTAAATTATCTCTTGAAGACAGATCTTCCGCCTGTCCCTCGAAACCTTCAAGGCACCATCCCACATTACATAAAGCAAAATCATTTTCAACAGTCAACGTGGCCAAGATTCACTCCTGTCAAATTTCATTTGACTTAAACTTCTACACATAACATCTGTCTCAGACTGTAAAAGAATCCCACAATTCCATACGCATTTATACAGATAAATTCAAATTATAAGTTCATTGCTCATGTCGAAAAATTTCTGTCCAAATTGTTTGCATAAATAGTTTCCAATATATCAGTATTTCTACATGTCAAAAGACTTCTTTCCATTCCTATACATGCTGGTTAAAACCCATGAGACTACATTGTACTTGGTCAATTTTTCATTTGAGTTTCATTGGAAATAAAACATTCAGTGAGGGTGACACTACTTGAGTCACAATCACCACTAAAGTCATTAAGCATGAAAATGATATGAAAAACCAGAAGGACCGATTTCTTCATTTGATGTCCTGAATGCTGAACAGGATCAACACAAACAAAACATTTGAATACGAATAATACCATCACACAATATAATAAACAAGTAGACTGTCAAAGGTATATTACTTTGGAAAAACAGCTCAACACACATACACACAGATACAACATGCAAGATTACCCCCCCTCCAACAAAAAACTGCATTGTTTTTGAAAATAATCAAACAAAGTGCAGAGTTTCAAACATATTTGTAGGCCTAAGATGGAGACTGGATTTTGTTAAACTTCGCACTAATAAACCTAAAACAAAATCATGTCACAGTTTGTTTACATGTGCATTAATCTATGGGGGCTCCATGGATTGCGTCCCACTTCACTGCCATAGGAAAGGGTACATGTAAACAAAACCTGGCGTCAGTATGTTACAGGTCTATACCAGAGGCAAATATCGATGTAACTAACACGGACTTGGAGATAGAAAATGCAACAACCATCTGATATAAGAGCTTGAGATCTCAACCAAAAATGGACAGGATTCCTTGCTGAAACTCCATCTTAGGCTCAGGTTGAATGTTCTACAGCACCTTTCTCACAGATGAAGTAACAATACCTACATACACTGTTCTAGTGAGGTAACATGATGCTAAACATTAAAGAAAAAGTTATCTTTTACGAAACAAGTGCAGATTCTGACAACTGAATAGCTGTGGTAGTGGCTATGGAGTGGCTATGGCTACTTTTCACAGACGTGTATGGCCAAGTCTGGTGGATGCAGCCTAAAGTTAATGACTTCCCTGGTTTTCAGTCAGGGATTATGTGACCCACTCTGTGAAAATGAGTCTTAAGTCACCAGTGCCACTTTTTGAGTTTTCATTTGTATTGGAAAGAGTAAATTGAGTTTTTTTGTTTTGATGTATCACTCAATTTGGCATCCTGATGAAAGTGGATACTCCATGGTGAAAAACGCTGTGGGTTCCTATTGAATTACACAGTGCAAAATTATTTTCAAGCACCTTTTACTCCAAAGTGGCTCTGGCAACTTGTGACTCATTTTCACAGAATGGGTCACATATATTTTTAAAAAGAAAAAAAATGATACTTGATCATTACACTCCTTATCTTGAAGAAAAAAACACTATAAAACGAAACCACAAACTAATAGAAATTTTCTGTACAACAAAACAATAAATATATGTATTACACACTGCATAAATGTTGACATTCAGTGAAGATTACTACTTAGTTTAAAAGTCATGGACTATTATTCCTATCGAGCTGAGTTACAAACTTAAGAACTCAAGTTAGCTTAATTTTTAATGACAATGTCATTTTGAATTATCACGGGCTTGAGGTCAAATGGAAATAATATTGCATATTGTACAGTAGTTTTGAACATCTTCCTATGCTACTTGAAATAAATTATCTTGGGGGAAAACCTCCTTTGCCTAAAACACAAAAACAGAAACCCAAACCCCAAAACAGCATCCATTGGAACTTCGTTAGAAAGGTCTACTCTGACATGCTGGTATCACATTTTCTAAAATGGAAGGAATGCTTACTGATTCCTGCATGGACATTTGACGAAAAAGTGACAATCTTTCAGAAAAAAAAGAGACTAAATCGTAAACTTTCATGTACAACAATGACTGCGTGCATGCGTAGTGCAACCAAAATATTCTATACCCTGTCTGAAGTGTCAACTGGTAATGAAACTTTCTAAAACCTAAATACCTATTGACAAGATAGTATCTAAAACCTATGATTTTTCAAGGGAAAATATCAATATTCTGACCAAAGACTCACTACAGCCGGGCCTGTGGAATCATAACATTTCATGGTTATCCTAATTTGCTATCTACAGTATCCAACTTTAAGAATTCTGTCAACACAAGTATAAAAAGCGATCGACCCCCCCAAAAAAATTTGTTTGTTCAGGATTTTCCAAAAGCAACATTTAATGTTGACCTAATTAAAACAGTATGCAAAAATATTTTAACACAGTTTAACACATTTGATGAAAATCACACTTTTTGTGGCAGAAATTTAGAACAAAGGCTTTAAAAATCATGGAAATATGCATACAAAGTAAAAGGCCTTTGTCTGGTGTGACGATTACTCCTGAGAGGGCTTCCACATTTCTAAAATTACTGTCCTTATTCCTGAACTAAAAACAAGAAAATCAAGCGCTGTGCTGGGTAAAACAGTATAATATCCATCAAAATACTGCACAAATAGGTGTGAGGGATTTGGACAGAGTTCAGATTTGCAAGGCTCATTTTGTTGCATATGCAACCAAATACATGTAATTGCAAGCTTAGTAAAGATAAATTACCCGTTTGTATCTGAAGACCATCTCTGCATGTGACTTTTTTATCACCTAAACTCAAACAAAGACTGTAGGCTTGACTCTTGGGTCCAACTTTAACACTGGCTGAGCTTGTCCAGTTAACTCAGTGAATAGTTTAACAAGATATTTTACACATTTATGGGTGAATTACGTCCTTTGTGAACCAAATTTAAATAAAATCTTTCTCACTAAATTGTTTGCATGTTTGATACATGTTACCATCCACATGACTTCTTTATAGTGAAGATACTAATGCAACTATAGACCGATTGCACCTGCTAAGTCACGTCACCTTTTGTGGGTATTAAATATCAACAAACACGCGACCAAAAAGCTAAGTGTTTCCTAGGTATCATTTACCAAAAATAAAGCTAACGGTAGGTACTGTACTCGGACAACTGATGAACTGGGTACTGTACTGTGACTTGGCTGTATTGTTTGTAAACAACACTAAAAACACACGTTGATGTGGGGTTGATACCCAGTATAGGTCGTGTGATTTAGCTGGCGCAATCGGTCTATTGCCACCTGATCTGACAGAAATCTTACAATTTGGTAAAAGACGTTCAGCAATGTTGACATCTTGTTCACAGTGGATGAGAATAGCACAAAGTCAAGACACCAGACCATTCCAGAAGTCAAAATTCCTTGCCCCAAATCACTTGGTGTAAGAACTGGGCATTCAGTCTGAAGAAATTCTATTTGGATGTGTAAGTGTAATAGAAAACACTCAGGATACCAAACATCCAATTTAAAATTGCAAGTGACTGTTTTAGGCTGCATCCAAATCCGTTGTCTAGAGCTAGGTTCAGATCTTCACTCCACTGGAAATAAACAGAGACGCGCATACAATAGACCTAGCCATAGCTTTGGAGGCCCGTTTTGGACACATCCTCACTTGGTACAGTAGACCAATATGTGACCAGCTCTGCAAAAAAGGGTAAGAAGTCGCACAATGCCAAAACACGTAATGGCCTGTTCTATTTGGAGAGGGCAAAATTTCTTTAAAAAAGTGATTTTTGTGTTTTTCCTTCAATACTTTCTATAATATTTATATTTTCAGAATTTGTGACTACAAACATGTATACTGATGAATAAAACTGAAAATTGATCATTCAGAAGGAAATCCTACATAGCACTGTGTTTCCAAGCGCTACACTTCAAGAGTTTTTTCTCAAAAAGTGCTTTTATTGAATCCGAAAATATACAAATGTCTCTGGAACGCTGTGCACTACAGGGGTCATTCACACATCAAATTGCAGCTTGTGATGTACACAATCCAGTCATATCAAAACTGATAACCTGAATCTGACGACTTATTACCCATTTTCCTAGAGCCGGTCACATATGTACTGATGACATAATGCTTTTTTTAAATGTGTGCTTTCTTATGGAAGCCTGGAAAGTATCACAAATGTGAAGCTCCATAGGAAAGCGTACATGTGAACAATGTAAATTGGCCAACTGACTTATATCTGAGGAACAGCAGACATAATATCAAATTTATGTGCTGAAAATATTTCACTCATGCAGCACCAGTAGGAAGTGTGCCCAACAAGAGCTGTTTTTACTGTGTGGACAATCTCTGACGTTTTCCGTGGAAAAAGTCTGTTTTTGCCCTCCAATTTCAAGAGCAGATGCAACTTTTTGTATGACGATACAAAGTTAGTATCAACCTAGATATAAACAGAATATCTCTTGATAATATTCACAGTTGTCTTAAAAAAACATTTCAATGGGAGAAAAACAATACACAGCATTTTGTTTTTACACATTTCTTAATCTTAATCAGCTGTAGATGAAAAACACCCGTACAAAGTTGAAAAATTTCTGAGGAGGATTAGAAAACTCAGGCCAACCTGGTTTCATAGGTCGACTGTCTGTGTGTAACCTTTATGATGACTGTGTGGAGGTGTCAGGACACCAGCCATATGGATGGGGCTACTGTCCAATGGCTGCATGATCTGCTGTAATCTATCAAGAGCTCTGTCCTGTGGATGGCAAATAAAAACAGTTTGGGTCATTGTAGAGAGGGTTCCTTCAACTTCTCTTGACTCTTGTCAGGTATTGCTGACAAGTTCCAGAAGGAATATCGTTTGGCTTGGAAGGGGCAGATGAATACCCAAAGACCTAAGGGTATCACTGAGGTGGTGGGAGGACTTGAACAATTACACTTGATATCTCAAGTACCAGCATTTAAGGTTAAGAACATTGACAACTATATGTAAAGACAACTTCTTTGGACAAAGCACGATCATTTTCAAGGTGGCAGGCTCAAAAGGAGGTAAATAGAGACACACTCTTCAAGGACAATCACATGAACTAAGGACTGGTCCTGATGTTGCACAATAACCATGCCGAAATTTAATTGAAAGTTAGTTTAGCGAGAGCATGGCAAGAGCACAGCGGCTGCTCTAACCACAGAATGAGCCAATGAATGGGGCATTTCAAGACAGCAAGGTCATTTGAAACCAAAGCATGCGTATGATTCGATGGCCGAACTGATAGGGAAGACCTTGATTTCTTGAATGGCCCAGAAACACTTCAGTCAGGGCATGAGCAGTTGAAAGCTTCAACTAGCCGAAGAACTGCAAATGTGGCATCAACAGTGTGATGAGCTAACAGGCTGTGCCAAACTCAATTTGCTGACACTAGGAATCAACCGATGATCGGATTGGACATTGGATCAGGCCGATGTTCGGCAACATTGGCCAAACATCGAATTTGACCTTCCTTGCCGATATGAGTGCCGATGTTAAATTGAAGAAAGGAACAAACTCTGCACTCAGTTTTGGCAAACACAAATCTCATATTTTTATTTGAGTATGCATACAAACTATGTTTTTTCATTTTGTGTGATAAATGAACGGATATACCATGGTTAAACCTATGTAAACTATCCCCAAAAATAACACCTGCATGATCTGTGCCTTAACAACTCAATGGACTGCGGCTCCATGGAGCAGTCAGTGTACTTGTGTACCATTTCCACTGAATGCCATGAAAGGAGCCAGGGAACTACTTTGCATGTGGCAACACGAGGCACAGGTGCTGTGTGTCTATTCTGCATGTGTGCACCTCACGTGTTGAGTGTGAATACAACGGAGTGCCACTATTGTGCAGGCGTGACGTGACGTGCACAATTTATTCTCTCAACTCAGTGACCATAAAAGCAAAAAACTAATCATGTGAATGTACATTGTATAAACTAATGTTTTGAGGGAGAACACTGGTTGTGTTGTAAGGAGTAGGCCTACACCCTGTTAAGGTTGTGTTTTCAGTTATTGTCAGTAAAAACATCGGATCAGATATCAGCCAATGCTCCAATTAAAACATCAGACATTGGATGAACATCAGTTGATCCCTACCAGACACCATGCGACCCCTTTTCCAAATTAAAAAAAATTGTTACTTCAGTGCGACAGTGGCACAACATCTAGACTGGGTCTTACATGTTACTACCCCCTTAGTGCTGGGAAGTCATATATATTAGTATTTCCAAGGATGGATTTTCGCCGAGATGTTTATTAATTTTGGATTTTTTGCCCTGCCCGACATGTATCATAACACTGTATACTAAGTGTTAGCCCCCGAGGGCTTGTGAAAAAAAACCACAAGCGTACTCAGGTGGGACTCGAACCCATGACACAAACTCACCAGACTACTCAGTTGATTGGCATGTGTTTGGATGTTATGAGCATCATCAGAGTAGACACTTCTGAAGCCTGTTAACTCAGCTAGTCCCATCTCTCGTACCGTTATTGCAAACGCCGACATCCAGTGGACACAGGTAGCTATATCATCCCACTTCAAACCTGGAAATATCAAGTCAAAATTCATAGTAGAGACTCATCTTATGCAAACACAAAAATAAAAGCACATAGTCGAAAACATCAACGTTGCAATACCACGATAACAATCTGAAAACTGAAAACCTTACCCTTACATGAAAGTAAATTTTTTTCGACTTATACACAAAAACTTACCTGTCACTTCTAAGGCTAGCTCTTGAGACGTCATATGATACAAGGCCGATGCAGCGATAACACTGTAATCAAACTGGAGGCAGCCTATGTCCAATATACACAAATCTAGAAGCTGGACAACAGTACGTAAACAAAAATATTTACAGTTAGTAAAAGAAACTACGCAGCTCTTGCAGCAGCAGATTCTGTTTGAAAACCTTCAGACTTTTCTGATGACCAGAGATGACCACAAAGTGCAAGATCTGTTATTTTGAGGGAATGGACCGACAGCAACTGTGACATCAAAGTTCATGTAACTTATTTTAGGCCATCAGTGTGGTTCACAACACTCACACTCACTGAGCGAACTTTCATTTTTTGGCCACCTCATCCTCATTAGCACCTAAGAGAAAATCCTGAAATCTAGTAATAAACAATTTGAATTCCATCCAGGAAATTCCAACACAGATGCTGTCCATTACATACCTGAGCTATTTGTACAAACTGATGCCCTGAGTATTCTGGTAGTAAGAAGTTGTGGCTGCTCCGTGTGGTGTGACTACGTCTACTAAGCTGAAGATAGATATTCAACCAAGTATTGACAGTCACTGGCGACAGGCCCCACTTCAATGTCTGCAAGATAATGTCAATGATCAAAATTGCAGCTACTCAGGAAAATCTCCAGTCTCATAAAATAGTGACAAAGATGCTGTATAAAAATAGATATATTGAAAATTTCTCAGGTGTATTTGGCAGTATTTGTAAACCACTGTGGTGTTCATAAACAAAAAGAATGGTTTCTAAAAACTTTGAGCTGTGAAGTTTGTGCTTACCTTCAGCATGACCAACTCTTGGTCCAGTATTTCTGGCTCTGTGCTAGCACCATCTGTGACGTAAGCAAACTCGGCAAGTTTGGGAGGATAGATTTCCTATTTGAAAGAAAAAAATATTTTAGAATGGAAGTGGAAAAATGAAATTATTAAAGATGTCTGGGCGTGATTATCTAAGAAAAAGCGATATAGAAGAAAGATCAATGTTCAGCATTTTAAGACCGTTTCCTTTGAGATGACCTTTTTTGGCAGACTTAACTACAACTCTGGCAAATTTGACATTACAAGTTGGACCTTACCTCCAGTTTAGCTGCAATGAATAACGCTGTAATTCCTATCAACTGTAGCTTGGTCTTTGGTATGTTTGAAGTTTTTGACAAATATCTATCTACAAAGTCGGCAGCAAGGTAAAAAGTCTCCCTGTGTAACCGGTAAACTTCACAGACCTGGAGTGGAACAATGCAAATAGAAACAAACACCAGTATCAAATTACATGTCCATAGTCATCATGATAGTCACAATTCTAGTCTGCACTGTGCTGCATTAACTTAGGCTTTGTCCAAATCACTTAGCAGTGGATTCAAGTTACATACGAGTCAATAGTAGAAGCTAATGCCAAGCTACAGCCGAGTAATGTGGACATAGCCTGAGATTGCTAGGAAGACTAGTAACTTATGCTGGCAGTCTTCCCAACTAGTAATGTCTTCATTTAGGGAACAAAGGAATTTCCACATGAGCCATGTAACCAGGGATCGCATATGCTAAGTCATACTTTACATATTTTTTTATAACAAGAAATACTGCAAACATGGCATATCAAATCAGTGCCTCAGTGTCTCCTTGGTGATGCAAAGAGAGATGTTACATTGACACTTGTGTGCTTGGCTTCACTGCAGCAGTGGCAGAATGATTTTCAAAGGGAAGGGGGCAATTGTGAGACTACCAGGGATTAACCATTAATAGACCCTTCCATTAAGTCACATCTCATTATACAGCCTGTCAAAAGTGGGAAGGCCAAGTCCCTTCAGTTAAAAAGGGTGGGGGGGTCACTGGCCCCTTACTTCTGCTCCAGCGCCTATGTACCGTACCCACAAGTGTGTACATTTTTAGATGAAAAATTCAGGTGTATACTTGGGTCACATATGCACAAATGCTGATAAAAACCGAGAAACTTCTTTCATTCATGCAAGGAGCCCACAGCAGTCAGGGGACTGTACTTACTTCAATCAGCCAGTCTAGTAGAATTGCTCTCATCCGAGGCTCTAGGCTCGGATGTCTATCTAGAACTCTGGTATTGTGTATGTAGTTACTCTCTTTCTCCAACATCACTTGCCAGACTTCAGTAGAGTCAGCCCAATTCAGTATTGGCAAGGGGGATCTTCTGTCGGTAAGTGGGGTGGGGAACAGGTTCCGGAACCGGAACTTGGAACCAGACTCTAGCAGTTGTTCGGATGGGGTTGTTGGTTCCTGGTGTGGGGTGGGTATGAGTGATGATGTCTCAAAACCACCAGACTCGGAAATGGGAACCCAGGAATTCTGGGGGAAAGGCGGTGACAGAAAAGATCAAAATCAACTCTGGAAGCATTTTTAAAAAATAAGGCAACTGTAAGTGAGAAAAATTGGGCTTAAAAATGTTTGCACATCACATTCTCAGTTTCTGTCCTGTAATACATTGATACTCTAGGCAAATTTGAAATGTGTTGTGTCCAATCCATGGGTGGGCATGACTACATCTTGTTGTGAAAAGCCAACAGAGTGCTCAATAGTTCAAAGGTCAGGCTTTCAGTAAATACACAATGCATAATCCGTGACCACTTCCTTTGAGGGGTTGAATCAGTTTGCCATGTTGAGTCATGTCACATGATGAATAATATACGGGGGATGGAGGGGACTACTGACTTTAGGCACAAACGCTCTTGTGTATGTGTTGACTGGTTACTTATAAAAGACATTGTCTATAACACTATCAACAATTACACAGGCCTAAAGTTTCAGATATTTTTCCAACTGATTGATCATTCCTTTCTAGATCACCATCTGCCTTCATTGAACAAGAGCTTGTTCACACACACTGATTTTTATGCAAGGTTTAGGTAATAAGATTGAGGTTAATATTGAGGTTTTTTCACTTGCAAATGTTGTTGAATGTCATGCCAAGTACTAGTTGATTTCAAAAGGACGTACATGTACAATACAACCTTCTTTGCGTTTGTGTTACATTTTTAACATGAGATTAGAGATATTTGGTTTAAGAGGTTTTGGGCCATTCTGCTGTGTATACTGAAAGGAATCATGCATGTTTAGAGATGTGTCTTTCAATAACTGAATCAAGAAGTG